TGTCCAGATGAAAATAGATAGAATAGACAAAGATGGACAGTGGTTATTAGTGGAATTCATGTATACGCGTTTCATCTTATTTGGGACTTGTTATCTGGATATACCTGCATCACAGATTTGATATATGCACATATGTCAATAAGAGACTGATCAATTTCAGTCTTAAATATCAACAAGAAGATTCAAGTAAAACAATACCGATTGAATTTAGATGAAATAAGGTTTAAATCTGCAAAGCCAAACAACTTAACAACTAAACAATATACATATATGTATGTAGTAGCAATGACGTTCAATATTTAAGAATAGCTGAAGTACAGTTGACAAATTTTGATGGAGTTTTGTACTCTAAGCTAGATGGTTTAATCGTTAAGTTTTCATCGTTCTTCTGAACGACGTCATCAGCAGAAACTTCAAGTAGAAGTGAAGTGTTCGAATTTCTGCACATGTGATTCACAGTTTGTCCTGTAGACCTCGATGTTGATTGGTTCTTGTTGACCTTAAACCTGTCGTTAGATGACAAAGCCAATTAATTGAGTAACCTGTTACTTTGAGATTATGGTAGCTCCTGGTTAAGACACTAAAACTAATATTATATTTGTTATTTGATTTATTAGATTAAGCATAAAAGTAATTAACTATCTTCTAGTTTCGTATAAGAAGTTTCCATGTCTGTTAATCGGTTAAGTTACATTTTGACCACATTTTTTTGCGATTTTAAGAAATGCTTTAGTAAATTGAAACTTTTAATTTGTCCTGTAACCATGATGTTTATTCCACAAATATAAATTAAATTAATTCCTTTTTTGCGGTTTATCAAAGAAAATTAACCTTAACTACAATCATCATCCATCCGAAGATTTCAACATCAATCTGATGAAATCAATTCATCTAGTTGTACTATGAATTTATAGAAATACTTAAGTAATAAATATCCTCTTCAGATACTATATAATCCAGATTATAATAACTGAGTTTTTGATTGAGATCATGAACCGATTGATGTTGGACCACCTTTGGAAACCTGGAAGCATTGGACGGCCGTTTCATTCTATTATGGAACTTCTCAGCAGTGCGCATCCGCGGTCTCGTTCGCGGGATTTGAACTCAGGGCCGTCAGTCTCGCGCGCGAACTCCTAACCTACTGGACCACTGAGCCAATGGTGATAGTGTCTAACATCAACCAATCCACGAAATTGCGCGACCATCTCCCATTGTACTGAGGTAGATACCTGTCTCTACCTGACATGGATTAGCTCCACTGGTCGCGGCCTCTCACTAGAACTCCGAGAATTCCCTCACGAAGCTAGTCACTAGTGAGCACATGTTTATTACTAGTATGGAGGTTGTGGAGTTTATTAGGTTTTTGATTGAGATCATGAATTAAAATTCCCCTTCAGTTTTAATGATTTAAAATTTAGCTTACTTAAAAGAAATGTCCTAGATATAATAAGTCACTAGATCTATTCTCCATAGTTGGCTTAGTATGTTACAGTGAAACAACATAAAATGAACAAAAAAATAATTTAAAAGTTATTTATATGTTGAACTTTTGAAGGATTATTTCTTGACAACAGTACATATTTACATAACATTAATTGTATTGTGGATTAAAAAGACATATCAGATGAGTCAATTGAAACGAAATCATCATGGAAAATTTAGGAGCACTACACGGCTGTTTCTTCTTAGTGTGCGACTCCTAAACAGTGTGCATCCATGATCTCATCCCAGGACCTATCTGTGTCGCGCGCGAATACTTAACCTCTAGACTACTGAGACGGCAGCTTTAATTGTAATGATGACAATATATATATATTTATATATATACAAAACTAAGGGTTCTATTCTAATGAAATAGACTTCAAATTTGCTTCATGATGAATTATGTAATCTGGTTGACACAATGGTTTTAGCAAGGTTTATTAAAATAACCCATAGTATCATTGAATAAGAAAGAGAGAATTTAGCGAAGAAAATTTTCCTATCTACGAAATCATTTACTTAAGACGTACATCTGTATATATAATTATATATGGAAAATAGATGTAAATGATTTCATCGAAAAAATAAAAAAAATTTTCTTCGCTGAATCCACTTTTTCTTGCCAAGATTTTTTTCTACGGGATGGGGTTGCCGACCTCACGCCTAACCCTCCTCCTTTACTCAGACTTGGGACTGGCAGTAACTTTAGGACAGCTACAAGAGGAGTTTTCATGATGAATTACTAATAATATTTTTTTCTAAATTTACACAAATAGATAACAGCTGACTGAAGTATACGGAACTGAAAGAATCAATAGTGAATCGAAAAATTCTTTCATAATCATCAAATTTCTTATATCCGTAGTATAAACCCAGTCATTCGAGATTTTTCCATAACAAATGATAATAATTTACTTGGTATTATTTACTTGAATCTTCCCATTGATGATTAGAACTGCAATTAATCAGTCCCCTTATTGACACATGTACATACAGTGCTTATTGCCTCGATATTCCCTTAATTCACAAGCATTATAAGCAAAGATGAATAGTGGCTAGCAATGGTATCTAGGACGCGTGTTTCTTCCTATTTAGGACTCGTCAGCTGGATGTTCACTCCGGAACTCGAACCCAGTATTGTTATTAATTGTAAATACATAGAAATAAATTAAAGTTGTAAAATCAAAAATATACAGAAAACATTTTTTTATTTAAGAAAAGGAAAACACGTTTGTTCAAATTATTTTTTGATGCAAATAGTTTACTAAGTACATCGATAAAGTAAAAGACTGACTTCTCCACAATGTATATAAATGAAACACTTTTCATCATGTGTGATTGACCTAAAAAAGAAAAAAAAGAAGAAGAAAAAAGCCTAAGATAAAGTTCATTTGAAGTTTACCTCGTGAAAGGTTTTTTTAACAAAATGATGTATTAAAACTGTTTCCAATGCTTTTTCCATATACACTTCATATAAACTTTGATTAGATTAAATAACCATTTGATTTGATCTAGTAAGCTCAGTTATGTTATTGAAAACTGTCCACTGAAAATCGATGGATGCAAAGGAACATCTGGATTTTGAGTTCTTCTATTCTTTTAGAAGATAATTTGAAAAAGAATACGAGATTGTGTGAAACAACTTACAGACTTTTCACAGGTTGAAATAATGAGTAAATTGAAGCTAGACCAGCATGGAAAACCAGGAAGCACTGGATGGATGTTTCGTCCTGTTATGGGACTCCTCAACAGTGCGCATACACGATCCCGCACCCCATGAAATTCGAAGCCAGTACCAGGCGCTTAATCAACTAGACCACTGAGACGGCATCCAAAGGTGTTAATGTCTAACTTCAACCAATCCACAAAATTCCACCACCGCACACCATTGTCTTCAGTGAATTCCTATCTCACAACAGACCTGGTTGAACTTCACTGGTAACGACTTCTCACTAGAATTCCAGGAGTGTCTTCTGAATTCAGTCACTAGTGAACAGGTGATTATTTATTATCAGAATGGGTTTTGTGGAGATTTTAGAAATTTCAACTTGTGAAATTTCTAAAATCTCCACAAAACCCATTCTGATAACTTACAGATTATTAAGATGAAGGCGAACATGATTAATAATATACTGAAGCACTACAAATGGATTACTGATGAAAAATCAATACAGAACTGTTTACAAGTTCGATTGTGTTGTTTCTAATCGAATTTATATATTGAAAAGTTGGTTTATGAAATCTTGACTCAAATATTAAAAAAAAAATCTATCGAAAAAACACCCCTAACTAATCTTGTAGATTATTGCAATCAATAAATCAAACCAAGTACAGTAGCACATGATATATTTAACTACCGTCGAATCAATATTATAAAAAAAACACCCCAACAATTGAAAGGTGTTCTTTTTTTCTAATCTACGGATAGGAGATTAATTAGAATAATTTACCCTGTCCTTCGATGTTCAAAAGAAAGAAAAGCTTACTTATTCAATCGAATTCACAAATCTTTGCAAATTGTCACATTAGCTAGTTTTAGATTTTATAATAATCATATACGAATTAGGTAATATAGGACATACATTACGCAAATCATCAAACTACATCACGAGGCAAGCCCTAACCTGGAATCCTAGAAAGAAGCGGAAAAGAGGAGGGCCAAAAAACACATTACGTCGAGAAATGGAAGCAGAGATGAAAAGGATGAATAACAACTAGAAGGAACTAGAAAGGATTGCTCAGGACAGAGTTGGAGGGAGAGTGGTGATGGGCGGCCTATGCTCCTTCACGAGGAGTAACTGGCGTAAGTAAGTAAGTAAGTAATTTGCATTTCCGATACTTATTAAAACAACAAAGTACAAACAGAATCATGTTTTATGGAGTCATAATAAATTTTAGGTTTGGTTCTGATCTAGAATAAAGTTTCATACCTCAGCTATTTTTTTTGGAAATAAACAGTTTATAAATTCGATTTTCTAATCTATATGTGTATATATGTGTATCTCCATACACATTGTACTTTATCAATATTTCATGAGTTCTGTCATTCCTCTCATTATACATGTGATTAAACTTGAAACATAGATTCTCAAATATTATAAATATCTTTCATTAAATATAATATCCTATGCTGACACTTCAATGAAAACAGTTGGCAAAGATCGTTATGAATTGACTTTTGTTAACATACACTAATAAGAGGCATGGAAATAAACTTTTATTTTACAATTGAGTTACTAGTTACATTTTTTAAAAAAAATGAATAGTTGCTAGGTTAGATTATAGTAACTATTTCATGAGAATCAGTTAATCTATGTGTTCATTACCTACACTTGAATGAAAATTAAAATAAATCAATGTCCATTTGTACTAACCTATAAGTATATCCATTAATCTATTCTACATGTGTACCCTCCTTGGTATAACTTAGATATTTGATGCAAACAAACACTTAAAGTCATGATCAATAACCGTATTCTATTTGTACACCATAAATATTCATACTAATTTACATATGTAAACATAAATTATATAATCAACAATTCAAAAACTTTATACATTTTTTTTATAACTGATTAATTCATGAAGGTAGTTTGAATGGTTGCTAAATGATACGATTCTACTTTATGTAAACACATACTGTTCATAGTGTATTGAATAAGAACATAATTGAGGACAATCGAATATATTTGAATATAAAATTACAGAATATCTTAGTAAAATTTGAGAATCAGACAGTAAATACTTCATTTACAAATTATCAGTTAATCGTCTCAAACGTCATTGTTTTTTTTTCTTTTTGTTTCCATGTCAATCATTCTCTGTTCTCGTTCTCATTACTTTGATTTTCTTAACGTTCTGCCGCCACGTACTTCACTTTCGATTAGTGATAGATACTACTTATATCCATCGATATCAGTAGCATATACCACAATCGGACATGAAAAATTGAATTAGGCTTAATGTGATATAATTAATGCTAGAAGTTCTGATTTATATATTCAATTAAACAACCAATTAAATAATAATAAAAATGATATTTGAAAATTTGTGAAACATTTGGATGTTATCAGAAGGGGTTTTTTGGAGATTTTAGTAATTTTATAGTTGAATTCATGATTTAATTGAAGCTAGACCACCATTGAAAACCTGTAAGAACTGGAAGGTTATCTCATCCTACTTTGGGGCGCCTCAGCCATGTGCATCCACAGTCGCGCACGTGGGATTCGAACCAAGGGCCTTCGGTCCCGCTTGCGAACGCTTAACCTCAGGACCACAGAGCAACGAAATTGCGCCATCGTACACTATTGTCTTCAGTGACCTACTGTCTCACAACAGACCCGGTTGAACTCCACTCATCACGGTTTCTCATTAGAACTCCAGGAAATACCTCTTCAAGTTAGACAATACCATAATTGATTGTCGACTCAGTGGTCTACAGGTTAAACGTTCGCTCGCGAGACCGATGGTTCCTGGGTTCGAATCCCGCGAGCGGGATCGTGGAAGCACACTGTTATATAGGTCCATACTAGGACTAAACGGCCGTCCAGTGCTTTCAGGTTTTTCATGGTGGTCTAGCTTCAATTGACTCATGAATTCAACTATTGACTATTTAAATGATATATTTATAAATTTAGTGAGCTATACAGTAGAATAAATATCTAAACTTGAAGATTAGTTGGTGGGACTATAATTTATAGACGAACCAATCAGATATAAGGTTTTTGGTTCCAAATTTATTTATACATTTGACAAAGTATCATTTTGTCATCATAGCTGATGTCAGGTCGTGATGAAAACCCGAAATCTAATTTCTAACCTTAATCGTCAACTGTAAATCATGATTCTCATTCTTCCTACAGGTTTATAATCCTTATTCGGTTTTGGTTTTTTAGGTGAACACTCTCAAGGTCATGTTAGCGTCGCTCAAAGGTCGTCCATAAATTACAGTCTCAACATTTTTTCAAATGAGAATTCACTAATAAAATAAATTTTGGTTAAGTTAGCCTTTTATTTTATTCAAAATATCACAACAATGATAGTTATAACTAAATCAGCAAAAATATAAACAGTCTATAAACACTAATTCATATTTTTAGCCTAAAAATTTGGTGTCAGAATGGGGATTTGTTGAGACTGTGGTCATTTCAGTAGTTGAAATCATAAGTCAATCTAAGCCATACGATCTGAGCTAGGATGAAACGGCCGTCCAATGCTTTTAGGTTTTCAGTAGTAGTCTAGCTTTTGTTTCATGAACCGATTTCAATTAGACAACAGTTAAAAATCAAGGTGTTAAATAGTTTTTTCACCATAATTTGATACTATTCAGCTATATCCATGATTTCACTGGGGGATTAAAAACCATTATGTTATGATTTCATAACAAGGAAATAGACTTCAGACGGCTGAATGTGCATCTAGGTAGATGCGTTCCTAAAAATTCAATGAATGATATTACATGACTATCGTCAACTGTCATTTATGACGCTTGCTTCAGTCCAATGAAAATAGCCTATTAATAAACCTGATATTATTATTGTTCATAGTGAAGATTATTTTAATTCTATTATTAAGTATTCAAATGTTTTGCATGTAAATTTTATATAAAGACTATTATTTTAACTCTGAGATGCAGGTAGATCCAGCTGATGAGTCCCAGATAGGATTTCACCGCTAGCCACTATCCATCTTTGCATATAATGCTTGTGAATTAAGACTATATTGAGGTAATACGCACAGTATGCACATATGCCAATGAGAGACTGATCACTTGCGATCCTAAACATCAATGGGAAGATTCAGACAAACAATATATCTAGAAACGCCATTGTAGTATTGTTCTTCTGATAAAAGTTAACTTACAATAAAATATTATCACTAATTGATGGAAGAACGTGTAGTGGCTGGTCCTATGTCGAACCCACATAGCTTAACTTATCTTCCGGACAAGCCAATTTATCCATTCTTCTTGAGTTATGTTTTAACCTTGTTAAGTATTCGCTTATCAACCTTGACCGTTTTATATGAGCGTATGTGTGTTCATTTCTTATCCTGCTGCTCACATGACTGCAGCTTATTTTTGTGTAGCTATAAATATCTATTAACGCTTGATTAAATGCAGTTAGCGTCATTTTGCTTCGTCCCTTCGTTTGCCTACGCAGATCAATGAGTGTACAAAATACATGTAATCGAAAATCCTTTCTCGTATTTGACTTATTTAATTCCGTTATTCACTAACGTGGATTAAGTCGATTATTATATACGAAGATTGGCTATATGTATATAATCAATTGCAATCAGAAATCATCTTATTGGAGTCAGATCCCAGGCCACTATAGTGGTGAATCCGTCGACAACATTGTGCGGTCTAATTGACGTCAAAATGAAGGGCCACTAAAAACTTAATTCATCACTTTTTACATAATTATGGTATATCTTCTTGAAGATTTATTTAAACATACAAATTTTCGAATAAAATTAACTGAGAATTAGTTATTCAGTATAAACACACTGCCACCAAGTTTTTCACAGTAATCTAGCTTCAGTTGACTCATGAACTCAACCATTAAAAAAATTATATAAAAAAGATTAGCGAGACTATAATTTACGGATGAACCAATCAGGTATAAGATAGCAGATCTCGGATTTTAGCGTGAAGTTCACTCATCCATTTGGATAAACAGATTCATGGCATTATAGCTGATGTCAGTTCATGATGAAAACCCTAAATCTAATTCTTAACCGTAATCATCAACTGTAAATTATAATTCAAATTTCTCACACAGGTTCATAACCTTCATTTGGTCCTGATTATTAAGTGTACACTCTCAAGGTCAGTCTAACATCACTCAAAAGTCGTTCATAAATTATAATCTCACCGAAAGATTAGTTCAGCGAAGAGTTCTCTTTTCGGAGCATTCATTTTCAAAGCTGTACAATCATAAATACATGTACTTATTTTTCAGAATGATAATAATTATGACACTTTTGATATTAAACTTCTGTTAGACAATGGTGATATCCATAAAACCTCTTTCTGACAAACATATATATATATATATATAAACATATAACTTACATTCCAAATTCATGACCTACAATACATTGCCATATTGGTCCATATAATTTATCAAAATTTTTTTTCATAAACATAGCTACATCTTTTTCAGTATGATAATAATCCAATGCATGTACACATAAAGTCAATGCGGTTGTTTTACGTTCTGTTGGTAATTCATTTGCTTCAACTACAATATCGTAATGTTTCATGATGAATCGGAATCGACTTATGAATAAACGTATATATATATATATATATATATATATAATTGGTACTCAACAATAGATATCTGTTTACAAGACTTATTACAATTCACTTGATAGTACAATCATAAACTGAGAATAATTTAATTGGTGGTAATCATTCTAATTTGTCTCTTTATTTAGAAATTATATATAAGTGAAGAACATTTTCACATTATTCGACACTTATAGAATCTGTCATAATACCACTACTACTACTAATAATAATATGGTATATATATATCACAATAATAGTGAATTACAATTAATGAAGTGTATACAACCATTCAAATGTGTGTTATAGTCATGTGAATTTGAGTGCACCATTGTACGAAAAAAGTTAATTGGCTGGTTAATTGGTTAAATTATATGAGGTGTATTTTATTTTGCACTTTATAAAGTATTAGGTTACATCATAGAGAGTGGTTAATAATCACACAGATAAATTATGAGTAATATATATATCTGAGTATAGTTAAGACTATGGCTACAAAATCAGTAAAAATAACAAATCGATTTTCATTACTGAGTGAAATTATTGGTAATTTTTTAACTCAATAGGTGAGTTGTGGAGATTGTAGTAATTTAATAGTTGAATTGATGAGTCAATTTAAGCTAGATCATCAGTGAAAAGCCGAGATTGGTTGAAGTTAGACATTGACACCGTTGGAGACCGACTCAGTGGTTTGTAGTTTAAGCGTTTAAGTGTGTGTGAAACCGATGGTCCTGGATTGGAGTCCCGCGTGCACGATTGTGGATGTGTACTTTTGAGGAGTCCTATACTAGGACGGAACAGCTGTCCAGTGATTCCAGCTTTTTGACGGTGGTCTAACCTAAACTGACTCATGAATTCAACTATTTAAGATATTTGCTATTAAGTTAATATATGTTATGATCTAATTAGGAGAATCTATTGTCTTTAAAGTAAGATAGATTATTTTAATGTTTAAGCAAAATACAAACTGAATCCGTGATCAGTAGAGAAACGTGTGAAAATACTTGACTTGTTTTTATTTACTGCGATGATAGCTCTTGAAAACAATAAATTAGATTTCTGAGGCATTCGATGGTTTGATTTGTCATACAGTGCACAGAAAATAACACATACATACATTGGTAATATTTAAACATGTGTTAATTCAAGCTGATATCATGGATGGATGAATGTTAGACCACCATTGAAAACCTAGAAGAACTGGATGATCGTTTCATCCTAGTATGGAACTTCTCAGTAGTACGCATTCAGGATTCAGTTCGGTTATTTACTTAGTCTGAAGAAGTCTCAGACCAAATTAAGTTCATAGATTCGGTAGTTGTTTTATGGCTTCACTTAGAAGTGATGACTTTAATGTAATTGAGATCTTGTTAAATTCTCATATAGTAAGGGAATTATGGTTGGTATTAAATAGTGAAATGTTTCATTATTTTTAATACTGTACCGATAGTTTTAAAATTTATAAGGTACAAATTAATTTTGGACACTAGTGAACACTCCCATTGAATTGTGATTTTGATTTTCTTCGTTAGCACTTACTTTCCCAGACACTTGAATTTTAGCATATGATTTCATAGGAGAACATAATTTGACCATCTGGTCAGATGACTTAACCTATGATGTAGTGAATCAATGTCGAGACTAAAGTTCATTATAGCAAGTAACTTCACTTGTTTACTAGAGTCCTTTAGTCTATGTCTATTAGTGGTTGAGAATCAGCACCCCTCAAACTTCTTAGGCAAACCTTTTATACACACTAAAAAAGACTTAAGCTAAGACTGCTCACAATTTATCCTCTAGTTTCATTAAAATTACCCTACCAGCGTAAAGGCAGTCAATAAAACATTTCAGACAGTCGATAAGCACATGGTGTTTATAACTTTCCACAGGTTTTTGCATTATAATTTATATAAACTGGAATCCTGAGTTCAGTAATTCATGACTATGATTAACTAAATACGTAAGAATAAATAGTTTTACACTTACCATTATGTTTTGCTAAGCCATGTTTACAGGTGATCCCTTATACTTTGGAAGATATTCCTTGATGAGAGACGTATTTAATGTAGCTTCATAATAAAAGATAAATAGGTAAGCGAGCATCAAATTGTTCTCATGAGGTGAAGTTTCCTTTATACAGTTATGCACCATTGGCCGGCTAGTGTAGAATACTTTCAATCAGAAAAAATGTCTATCCTATCGAATTATTCTAAACTCAAAATTCACTAAAATCGGCTTCTGATTTTCTTTGTTCCTCTATAGGTAAATGCTATCAATAATATTTTCACCTTAAATTTTTACTTGTCTTCCAAATACAAAATTTTTCCCTTAACTAACAACGTATGTCATTGAGAATATTAGTGAATTAGTATTTCCCACGAAATATTGCACCCGGACATAGTTTCTAACTCACTGCCATAGAGCATCATTTTAATTAGTAATCAGACTTGGAGTATATGATAAATATAAAATACATATTATTCAAAGTTTATAATAATAACACTGGTTGTTATGTTTACTACTGAATAATCAAACTGCATCACGAGGGAGGCACTAATTTGGAATCCTGAAGGGAAATGGAAAAGAGGAAGGCCAAAGAACACACTTCATCGAGAATTGGAAGCAGACAAGAAAAGGATGAATAGCAACTGGAAGGAAGTGGAAAGGATTGCTCAGAGCAGGGTTGGATGGGGAATGCTAGTGGGCGGCCTATACTGCTCGAGGAGGAGTAATAGGCGTAAGTGAGTAAATAATTGGTGAAGTTGAGAGTTTTCAGCGAAAACTACAAAATTTTGTAACTGACGTCTCTAAGTCTGTTTTCATTTCAAAAATTAACAAAAACACAATGAAATTTGTATATTTCATTTTATATACACAAAGCATAGTTTAATACTTCTGTACTATGTAGGATAATAGATAAAAGATATTTATGAGTTATATACACAGTTTGAACTTAGAAAAGTCAATCATAATTAAATCAAATCGTTCACCATATACCTTACTGTTAGCTTTCATAGTGGTGCCCAACTTCACATATTCTTTCTCAGTAGTTTTAATAAAATATAAAGAGAATTAGTACTGACGAATAGGACAGCACTTAAGTTGACAAATTTCAAACACAAATGTCGGTTAAAACTAAAATCACATACCTTCTTTATATGATAGATTAAACAGAGGCCTTTCTTCAATAGTGCTAAACTAAGTGAATCTAAGAATAGATAGAAAAAATAACAACTTGCATCTAGATATATTCACAATATTTACAAGATCATCAGTGTTACAGCTGTCATGTGATTCCATCAGCGTTCTTAATTACTTCTAATGTTTAAAGCTACATGTAACAGTTTGATGATTAAAAAGAGAATGAATGTAAAATCATTACGAAGCGAGCATTTTAAACTCGATTTCTTGCAATCAACTCCATTTAGTTCGATCTCAATTAACCTTACTTACCTTAGTAAGGTCGAACGTATCATGAAAAAAATTTACTGTCAGTAAACAACTTATAGTCAGACATGAAAAAAAGGAAAGGACATTAGCTGTGAATGATTCACTTTATTAGACAAGGTAACTTTCATAGATCGTTACACAGGTAGTCACATACATCAAAGCAACCAAATTTTTTTAAAGGAGTTATGAAAAACAAGTATAGTTTAAACATTTCATTGAATGTTTCGTTTAACAACAAAATGGATTCACTTCACAATCAAAGCTTTCAACAATAGATAAATCATGAGTTATCATCGACTTAAGCTTTTAGTCAATGGAGATGACAGATCGTTTGAAATATAAGTAGTTAAATCACTAGTGATTTTAAATTACACAGGTTTCTATTTTCGAATCATATTATTTAGCATACTGTTAATTTAAAATATTTCTAGAGGTTATATTTTCTTTGAGCTGGTTAGTATAATTATGAAGCTTGCGTTACTTTTCTAGACAAAATCATTAGTAAATATTTGATAAAGAAGTGACCGATAAGAAGTGGGCGGGCTGTAGCTCTTCTAGAGTTGTTGCCGGTCCCAAGCCCAGGTAACGGAGGAGGGTCGGGCATGGGGTTAGCGACCTCATCCCGTAGAAAACTAACTCGCTAGAAAAACGCCTACCAGAAAAAATAATTCAAACTATTTAAACTCTGCCCTGGGAGTTAGAAGGTCTTCATTTAGAAGAACTATGACGCCTCATGGTGAAAGCCGAGTTCCTTAGGAAGCCACGAGGCCGATGTCCCTTGTAACAAACAGAGCAACAATTTTTATAGGTACATGGAATGTCCGATAAGAAGTATACTGATAATATGGTCTATAAAGACAATGGGAGCTTCACGATTAAACTATATAGTTTACAGAATAAATCAAGTTTTTAATCCTTTCCTTGATCAATAAATACTCTCTATCATATGAAAATTCACTATCTACCATTGTACACTGACTCAATCATTAACAAATATACTTTTAGACTTTTTCATTGTAAACATTGGAACTGAAATTGGTAATCAATCATTCAGCACTTTAAACATGTACCATTTTGAAGAAAAAATCTTAGTCAATCAATAAAATATATTTTTCACTTATTTCTTTCAAACCAACTAAACTGTAAGATTGATTTGTATGAAATCTCATTTGGAAAATTGAGTTGATTTAACAAATAATATGTTAATATATGTTTAATAGTTGAAATCATGAGTCGATTGAAGTTAGACCAACATGAAAAACTTGGAAGCACTGGACGGTCGTTTCGTCCTATTGTACGACTCCTCAGTAGTACGCATCCACGACCCCACCCCCTGTGTGATTTGAATCCAAGACCTATCAGTCTCGCACGCGAGCGCTTAGCTCTTAGACCACTGAGGAAGCCGGTGGGTTCGTGCATGAGCACCGCCGAGGAGTCCCATACTAGGACAAACGGCCGTTCACTGCTTCCAGGTTTTCAATGCTGGTCTAGCATCAGTTGACTCATGATTTTATCCACTGAAATTTCTAAAATCTCCACAACACGCATTCTGATTTAGTTTCATCAAAATTATATGTATATTGATATTCTTTTGCCCTAGTAACCGATAACTTGTGAAGTGATCCATTTTTGCTAACAAAATGTTAACATTTCTAACCATTAGTAAAATAGTTCATTAATATTAATATTACTTTTTCTGATAAACTTTATCGCCTAATTTTAGGACAAAAATGATTTCATATATGTTACGTAATTCAAACAACAAATTCGACAAACAACTGGTAAGGTCTGTATAAGGGTTTTGTAGAGATGATAGAGTTATAAGTTAATTTTAGCCACACCACTACTGAAAAGCAGAAAGCACTGAACGATTATTTCG